TGTGTGTGTGTCCATGCACGTAGACAGGCAGTGATTATAACTTTCATGTATTTTAACTGGAACTCACTGACTTTGCACATGACTTAGATTTTCTTTTTAATTCCTCGAACCAGCCTGCCTTTGCTCAGTTTTTGGTCTGTGGGAGCTGGAATAGGTGATTTGTTTATGTTTAGAGTCAGCTTAAACACTTATAGCTTCCCCCCAGGAACATTAACTGAAGGATCATTGTGTCTCTGCTGGGAGAAAAGCCCAGTCCACCAGAATACTCAGCAAACATAATTCACTATAAATCTACCTCAAAAATACACAACACTGAACAGAACATGGTAGAAAAGACCAGTGGGGGGAGAAGTACTTAGATCCTTTGTTTAAGTAAAGGTAGCAGTACTACAGTGTAAAAATACTACAGTCCCAAATTCTACTTGAGAAAAAGTGCAGTAAAAATACTCTTTATGCCTAATGGCCTCTTTTACACTGTTAATATGTGCTTTACTTTTATTTTAGGTCTAGTAGGTGGCTCAGGCAGTATGCTTAGATTGGTTAATTTGGTTGCTCAATAGGCATGCGCATCATTTAACAGGATTACTGGGCTTCCATAGGAAAATGTAGTGAAGTAGAAGTATAAAGTACCTTAAAATGTACTTAGTTTCTTTCCACCACTGACAAAGACCAACATAGCATCCCCACAGGAGATTCTTTGTCACAGAGACAAATGAACTTTATTAGATTATCTCAGAAACTGAGGCAGCTGAGCAGGAGATGCTGTAAAATATACAAGTAATAGCCAGGATTTATGTCAGATGCTGCTCTGATACACAGTAAACCGAACCTCTGGAGGCAGCCCTCAGCGAGACTATCATTCCAGTGAGTTGTAGTCTGCCAGTCTGCAGACACACAGGGCTTTCTGTGAGCAGCTAATATGAAAGTATTTCTGTGATGTTGACTTTGTTATTTTCAGCCGAAGGATGGAGTACGTCACAATGTTTATGTTTTTACCTGGCAGAGTGATTCATTCCATTTATTCCTGCTGCGTTCAAGGGAA